GTATTTCTGAGTGTTTTATGTGCTGCAGAACAGGAACCTGCTGTAAAACAGCAATCATGCTGAGTCAGGCTTGATTTTTAATTTAAGGCTTGATAATCTTTTCCTGTTAAATCAACAAATCAAATGATTTGAAGACATCTGTCACACTGTTCTTCTGGTACTAAGGAAAAACACTAATTTCTTCTCTATATCTGCAAGACTTTGAGTTTGATTATAAATAATTGAGTCATAAAAAAAATCCCCAATTATTAACATTAACATAAAAACATAACNGTAGAAGCTTTTTACTGGGATCTTGTTTTCACTCAAATGAGTGTAATATTGTCTTGGGTCCACTAGAGGGTGCTGCTAGCGTCTATTAATGAGGCCAATAGGGTAAAGTTGAAAAAAAATGATGTATCAGTCATAGACCATTTTTGCCTCTATATWTWTWTTTTTTTCATTCATTCATGTTTTTATCTTGGTTTTATATTGTCAAGTACTTTATCCAATTTGATGTGTTGTTTCTTGTCTTTTTCTGCATCATCTGAACCAAACTACTGACAATATTGAAGAAATTTATAGTTATTAGAGGTTAGTACTGATTTTAAAAGCACAATATTATATTTTTAGGTTTTCCTTTTTATAATTATAATAATGTTTTAAAATAATGTTTTGCTTGATATAGATTAGTTACATGTCCGAATTATAACAGCACATAATTAAAACGTTATGAAAACAGTAGATGAGATTTTTGTATGAATGCCTGTGATTCAGCCGTAGGTCAGTAGGGGGCGAATGCATGCATTGAAGAATCATGTATAAATTGATGTACTTCCTGGTTTTTCGCCAGTGTGGTTTCCTGTCAGCTCCAGTGGCAATAAACCCCACTAGGTTCCAGAATTCTGGTTTTGTATGGTTTTATTCCTTCTACAAATCAGTTTATTTTACAACGGTGGTTTTCATATTGACTTCAGTCAATTGAACACGTATTTTCTTACAATATGGTGGACATGGCATTGATCTTAACTACTGACTGATCTATACTAATCAATATGAAAACAGAACTGTTCAACAAATGACATTAAATAAATATAGGATTAAAATGTACGTATTACATCCCAACAGGGGGAGTGATACCTGAGCACTTTTTTTTACTTTTATTTCTCTTTGCTTAAAAACGCCAGCCTGCATTTAGTTAAAATGTTCGAAATAAACCAACAACTGTGGGTTTTATTTTTGAGGGTGCAGAAACTTAATTTCACCTGAGAACAAAGTATCCACACTCACAGATGTATGCAGGATGGCAAACWGTTTTTACAAAAAGTTTTGTCTTCCAAAAGTTTAATTATTTAGATGGGTGTGAATCTGTTTTTCAAGCAGGTTCATATAGTTTGTGAATAAATTAGAAATGTCTTAAAAAAAACCTGAATCAAAACTTGACATCAAKTCTGCTCAACAACTTTTTCCTGGGGTTTTATGTTTAAAACTCTAAAATAGAAAAGTTAATTTAACTCCGTTCCTGTAAAAAAAAGGGAAAAAAACTTACAAGTCTGTGCTTCTTCAGGGTCTCCACAGGGCCAGCTCTGAACGCCCACAGKGGGTTATTGGTCAGAATGATGAAGAGGTCGACAGATTTCCCACTTTCTGTGGCCCAGGTGATGGGAAGAGTGCAGTCAGTGCTGCTGTTAGGSAGCTGCAACACAAAGGTCAGAGTTKAACAGAGACGCYTGTTCAGTAGGGCTGCAGGATGTTAGAAAATCCTATGATGGCGATATCAGGTGTTYTATCCAGATGCCTGTTTTTCCTTTCCTTCTTTCCTATCTGTACTTCCTACTCTATGTGACCTTTTACATTTTTGCAATGCAAGGCTATTTGTGTTTGGTGTGAGATTTTGCTGCTGTGAAACTCTGCCCTACTGGTTATATATTGCATTAGCATGAAAAATACAACTTCAAAACCCTTCAAATAAATTTGTCAACAATTACTGCACACTAAGCAGTCCTTTGTGATATGAATATTGCACAAACTGACTCTAAGGTGATGATATACTGTATTTGCAATGTATTGTGCAGCCCTAATGTAAGGATCATTAAAACACAACAAATCTGTTGTGTCAAACCAACAACAGACACTTGACTAGAGGCTATTTTCCAATGATCAGAAGCTCAGAAGAACAAAGCACACTTTTCAAAACACTTAAATGTACCCTCTCTGTTAACTGATTTTGACACACACAAGTCTAGTTTGAWGTATGCTGATGCATTATATTTGGTATCAAAATCAATAATGCTAAAGCATTAAAAAATGGAAAAAATGTGGTATTTATCTGTTGGAAATATGTTGTCAACTATTGTCTAATTTGGTTTAAGCTTTCTTAAAGGGATCCCCGATTAGTTCTAACATTACACTTTACCTGATAAACATATATTTTAACTGTAAAATCAAAATTGTAAAAATACTGCACGATGT